CACTTGCCTTGCATGCCTGAGGCCCTGGGTTCGATTCCTCAGCACCACATAAGCAAAAAGAAAAAAGCCGGAAGTGGTGCTGTGGCTCAAGTGGTAGAGAGCTAGCCTTGAGCTGAAGAGCTGAAGGACAGAGCCCAGGCTGAGTTCAGGCCCCACGACCGGACCCAAAACAAAAAAGAAGAAGAAGAACTAATTCTATAGACTGTCCTTTAGGTCTCTGGCCATCAACTCACTAGGTATAATAAAACACACATGCACACTTGCAATTCAACTATGTCTCCAGAAGGCAAATTAACCCGTTTAGAAGCACCATTCTAAACCTAAGGAATAAGTCTCTAATGCCTATATGATGATGGAACAGCACAATATACAAAATCAGAGTAATGAACAATACCTACAACTTTGGAAAGGCTTCCAAAATAGAGTCATGTGTTTAGTGATTCACAATCCAGTGCTTAAAGCTAGAAGTACTGTTTGGGCACTCCTAATCCCCAGTCTTAAAAGCAGTCCCTTAACTCAGGTTTTATACTATTCATTTGCTCAGCTGCTACTGAATACAGTAAGCTATTCATCATGTATTGGTTTTAGATGCTTCTTAGACCTCTTTGTTTATTGCTCGGTCTTTTTGTACTCTAATGAAAAGTGCAGGGATCCTGGTGTTAACATTTTTCTGTTTCTGAGGGGGAAAATAGACAGCAGTAGATAGTGATGCAAAGGTACTTAAAAAAAAAAAAACAAGGCAGATATTATAATAGGCCTGAGTGTTTTCTGTACTATTCATCAAAAGTATATTTCATTTTGTTATTCTTGTTTTTGGAAATTTAATGTGGACATAAATTTTCAGGGAGCTTTGGTTACTGTAATGTCTTCCTTCTAGTCATCACTAGTATGTCATTCCTATCAGTGTGTTTGTTTTCTGACATGTATCGGGCTTAAGCTGTATCTCTAGCTCAAGCACAGGATGTTGTTCGTAATATTGTTACTATAGAAGACAATGGTTTTCCTATAGGGCTATAGGACCTCTCATAATTTCTATATTCCCTCTATATACTTCTTTCCTCTTATTTACCTCTTCAGATAATTTAGAAGATGGTGGAATAAATAATTAAAGATAAATTCCTAGAAGGATATAATCCCAAATAACTTTTTCTCTTGAGTAGTAAGATGATGAACAAATGTTAGTTTTGTAATAAAAATAACAAGTGATACAAAAATAAAACCATTCCTGAGAAAACTAAAACAAGCTAGACTCTCGCAAAAGTGAATGTTACTAAGTTGAAAATAAGTAAGCAGATATTAAATTTTTAATATGGTAATTTGAGGTTTATGAATAGCTTTTTATGAAGATTTTTCTTAGAAACTTGAATTAGTCTTTTAATTAAAAACAAAATTTGATTTTTTTATTATGACTATAAAATCAGTGATAGAATGAAATAATGGCCGAGGTTAAGTTTCCCTATTTAAATTGTTCAGGTCCTCATAGTTCATTGGTGATGAAACTGTGAACAAGCCACATCACCTAACTGCTAGCCCATTGCTCTTTTATGCTACACTAACTGCCATGTGGAAACATGTTTTCTCTGTGTCTTCCCCTCCTTGTTATACATGGATTCTGCTAACCTACTTACTTTTGTTCTCTGCAGAATTCTCCCTCTGAAGCACAGAATTTAGATGAGAATACAACTGAGGGCTGGGAAAATCGAATAAGACTATGGACTGATCAGTATGAAGAAGCCTTCACTAATCAATACAGTGCAGATGTACAAAACGCCCTTGAACAACATCTGCATTCTAACAAGGAATTTGTGGGCAAACCTGCTATTTTAGACACTATTAATAAGACTGAATTGGCCTGTAACAATACAGTTATTGGTTCCCAAATGCAGGTAAGGACCAAAGGGTTAAATACTAAAACTAAGTGGTTGAGGTATATAACCTAGGAAGAGAGGGTATGGGTTTGAATCACTGTGTCTTGCAAATACATAGTATCTGAAAATAACAAATTAAGCAACTATTGATTATCTTCAGCCAAAAACAGGTTATAGTCACTTGAGAATGTTTAGATATGTATATTTTTAAACTATGCTTTTATTAATCAAAAGTAGATGAATTACCTTGGAATGTAGCCTAGATAGGAATTATAAAAGATTTGTAGAAAACTAAACTCATTCTTAGTTTTGTAGAGCCACAGAAATTTTTACAATGTGTTTTTATTTGATCTTTTCTTGTCTTTTCTGGGGTGGCAGGTTCAGTAGATGGAGTTCCTACAAAAATTGAGCTTCTATCAATTTCAAAATTTTCTGGTCGTCAAGCTAAATAACATAACTTATAAAAACCCGCAAATGTTGGTGCATTTTTGACAATTATGAAATATTTTAAATGTCTACTAAGCTGCTGTTGGTATCTAATGTTAACATGTTGGTTTTATTCAGTTACAGCTGGGAAGAGTCACTCGTGTTCAAAAGCATCGCAAAATCCTGAGGGCTGCAAGAGATCTGGCTTTGGATACTCTTATAATAGAGTATCGTGGGAAAGTCATGTTACGGCAACAATTTGAGGTCAATGGGCATTTCTTCAAAAAGTAAGAGCATCATTCATTGAACACTGAGGGCTAGTGAAGTTCTGAATAGTATTGCTGTAAATATCCTGGTTGATAAGCTACTCTTGGAAAAAAGCTTATGTGTCTTCTCTATTTGTACAAAAATGCAAATAAATCTGCTAATTGTTCAGTGTATAAAGTAGTGATAACTCCTTTCCAAACACAAGTCTTTGCTTTGTACGCATTCTTTAATCAAAGCAGAATCGCATGCGATGTTTTTCAAGTTAAAGCATTGCAAAAGATTGCTGCTGCTTCTGTCAGCATTTGCATCATATTTAGAGACATGGGGTGACCTTTTCGTTTATCAAGATTTACAGGAATTTTAATTGTATCCCTAGACCGTATCCCTTTGTGCTCTTCTACTCAAAATTCAATGGTGTAGAGATGTGTGTGGATGCCCGTACTTTCGGTAATGATGCTCGGTTCATCAGAAGATCATGTACACCAAATGCAGAGGTAAGATATCTGTAGTAACTTTTCTTTTAATGGAACCACCCAAGGACAAGTTTATGAAGAAACAATCTGAGAATTGTACCCAGATGAAGGAGTTGATAGATGTGTTTCAATGCAAGAGATAGAACGCAAGGAATGAAATTTCTCTAGAGAAGGCAAAAATGGGAAAAAGCAGGAAAACATTTGCTGAGAAGTCAGAGCTAGACTCATTAAGAAGTCAATAATGTTAAAGAAATGGTCATATTGTAGAAGTTTTACTGTGCAGGCTTTAGGGAAAAGTATTATAAGAGATATTCTGGACATTTCTAGAGTTTATTACTCAGTGCCACCACAACAAATGCTTTATGAAGAGCTTTATTTACAGGCTAGTGATTTTCAGTTCTCTTACAGAGCTAAAAAAACTTCTAAGATGTAAAGCAAGGAGACTGAGATCTGAGGATCGTGGTTTAAAGCCCGCCTAGGCAAGAAAGTCTGTGAGACTCTTATCTCCAGTTAACCACAAAAAGCTGAAGTGGAGCTGTAGCTCAAATGGTAAAATACTAGCCTTGAACACAGAAGTTCAGGGACAGAGCCCAGCTCCTGTGTTCAAACCCTAGGACTAAAAAAAAGGTGTAAAGTAGTGATTTTGCCCTGACTTCAAATATCTCAAAAGTTATTACAAGAAGTCTTATAAATTTAGAAGCTCTTGCTCTCATAATGTAATAATTTCACATGAAGAATAAAGTTAAAGAGTAGTGTATTGTAACTCTGAATCAGGAAAAAATTACTTGGATAAAGGAGTTCTTTTCCTTTTCATGGAAAATTGCCTTGTTTATACAGGTGAGACACATGATTGCAGACGGGATGATTCACCTGTGTATCTATGCTGTATCTGCCATCACCAAGGATGCTGAGGTCACCATTGCATTTGATTATGAGTATAGTAACTGGTAAGACTTTATAAATCTTTCCTAACATGAATACATTAAGCTTTCGACCCTCCTTAAGATCTATGCCCATTCCTTATTATTCTTTTTTTCTCTGCTCAATCTTTTTATGCATGAGTGATTTTTTTTTCCTCTAAGGATTGTGAAGGAGAAAAAAAAGACTTTTTTTAAAGAAGTTTAAGCGCATCAAGTCTCCTAATAAAGATATTGACTTATTATTCTTAATTATAAAAGATGTGTAAGAGACATACTCAAATGTAACAACTCTTATGCACAGAGCATTTGTACTAGAATCTAAAAGGAATGAGATTTGTAATGACTTACACCATCTACTCAAACCACAAAATCATACAGTATGTGATAATACAGAAGAATAGAGGTAACAAGTCATAGGTAGTATGTAGTGGGTTTTATAAAGTAGAAGCTTTTTCTCCCTTTGTGGTTTGGGAGAAAATAAAAGTCATGCGGTAAAATGAATTTATACTGCCTGGCTTACTGCCTACTCAATCAACATCATAAGAATAAATTAGAGAATTTAATTGCTTGGTCTGGCTTTATTTTTCTTTATTATTTGGAGGCATAGACTTAGGGATATACAAAAAATATATACTATCAAAAAAAGTGTTCATAAGGACTCTATCATGCTTTGTTTAACTTATTTAGAGATAATACTGAAGGAAATTATGCTGATGTTTCATTTGGGTGAATGGTTAATATACCAGATTTTCAGTGATATTGAAACAGGCCTTGTGGTTGTTTCTTTGGAACAGTAATTATAAAGTGGACTGTGCATGTCACAAGGGGAACCGGAATTGCCCTATTCAGAAAAGGAATCCTAATGCTGCCGAATTGCCACTCCCACCCCCTCCAACCCTACCCATCATTGGAGCAGAGACCAGACGTAGAAAAGCACGACGGAAAGAGCTAGAGATGGAGCAGCAGAATGAAGCTCCAGAAGAAAATAATGACCAGCAACCACAAGAAGTTCCAGAAAAAGTAAATGTATCCAGTGATCATGAGGTAATCTTTCCTAGACATCAAAATGTTATGGTCTCAGTCCTCTCCAAATGAAGCAACTTCCAACTTTCCACATGTTTTAGGGAATCTGTAATAATACTTAGTGGTATTTATATCAATGAAACTGAGCGTTAATTTTCTTTGTGTAATGCCAAGAACATCTTTCAATATCTCAGTATACATTGCTTGCCTAGTAGCATGACAAAGTACTGGGCTTTTCATTCATAGCATAGAAAAAAAAATTTTTTTAAATCAGGTAACTTTTCAGGATTCAGGCCAGTGAATGAAGTATCTGTGCTTACCTTGTAACCTTACATGAGTAACACTTCTAAGTACTGAAAGCAGTTTCTAGGAAGCCATAATTAAGCAGCCAGAATTAAGCAGCTTGCTTTATCTCAGATTTTAAATGCACCATAATATTCCATCTATCTTAAAGGAAGTAGACAATCCAGAAGAAAAACCGGAAGAAGAGAAAGAAGAAGTTATTGATGACCAGGAGAACCCAGCTCATAGCAGGAGGGTGAGTGTCATCCAACATCCCTTTGCTTCTTTTGATTCCTTCTACCTACAGTATGTGAACCCTTCTCTTTTAACTTACCATCATCTCTTTGATCTAATTTGGAGGTCACAGTTAAGACTTATTCCGTAAGCTAGATTTTATTAGTTTTCTTGATTTGAGTTTTAAAAAATAAAAGTCAGCTTTACGTTGCTCTGAAAAAATACCTAAGAACACAACTTAAATGCAAAGGTTTACTATGGCTCACTAGTTGAGAAGTTTGAGTCCATGGTGTACAGGCTCAAACTCAATGGAACAGAGACAAAACTCTGTTTTAGATATAATCTTCAAACTCAAGCCTACAACTTACTGCCTCCAAGCAGGTCCTACTTCCTATTGAAATCATCCAGCTCCCAATACTGCTTCCATTGGGGGGGCAGGGGGAGGGTAATTTCAAGCTTTCACCTCTTGAGTGAACCTTTAGAGTATATTGCAGATCCTAATCAAAGCACCCTCCCAGTTATGTTGATTAAAAAATTAGTTTTAACCAAGTACATACCTGTAATCCTAGCTGTGGAGACCAAGAACTGAAATCACAATTTGAAGCCAGCACAGGCTATAAAGTCCATGAAACTCTGTATCTCCAATACTAACCAAAAATCCACAAGTGGAGCTATGGCTCAAGCGGTAGAACACTAGCCTTGATCAAAAATCCTCAGGGACAGTTCCCAGGCCCTGAGTTCAAGCCCCAGAACTGGCTTTTTTAAAAAGTTTATTTTTATGCCCAATACCAGTGTTACTTATTTGTGCTCATGAAAAGTTCAAAATTTTTACTTAAAGGGCTGGTAAGGTGGCTCAGTGGTAGAGAGCTTGCCTTGCATGCCTGAGGCCCTGGGTTCAATTCCTCAGCACCACATAAGCAAAAAAAAAAAAAAAAAGCTGGAAGTGGCGCTATGGCTCAAGTGGTAGAGCGCTAGCCTTGAGCTGAAGAGCTGAGGGACAGCGCCCAGGCCCAGAGTTCAGGCCCCACGACCGGACCCAAAAAAAAAAAAAAGTTGTTGTTTTTTTTTACTTAAGTTACTAAACTGAAATACAAAAGGAAATTGATTTTGTTGTCTACCTAAAGTTTTTTAAATAGCTGGCCTAATTTTTAAAAGCTCTTTTACAACTCTTTTCAGTATTTAAAATATTTAACTTATTTTTTAATCTTTCTTTCTCAACAATGTATATATCATTTTATTCATAGTTAAATGAGTTTCTATGAATGTCCATCAATAATACTCCTGAAATGACAGCTTCTGCTTTTTTTCTAGACCCGGGAGGATAGAAAGGTTGAAGCCATCATGCATGCTTTCGAAAATTTAGAAAAAAGAAAGAAACGGCGGGATCAGCCCTTGGAGCAGAGCAGTTCTGACATCGAGATTACTGCCACCACCTCAGAGACTCTTACTGGAGAAGAGACAAAAACTGAGGCTCCAGAATCTGAAATTAGCAACCCTGCTTCAAACATTGCCATCCCTAGCACCCCACAAACTATTGGTGTGAACACCCGGAGGTCTTCTCAAGCAGGGGTAAGAAATAAAAAGATTCTAGAATCTAGGCATCCTTGTCTTTGATAATGTCAATTACTTACGTTTTGAAATCAGGGAAATGTTGTCTTTGCTCTGTTAAAAAGAAAAGAAACCTTAAAGACATTTAAGGTTTTTATCAACTAATTTGTGGGGCTCAGGGAGACAAGTTGTCATATTTGAATGATAGGCACTTCAGACTAGAATAGAACTTTAGTATTGTTTCTGCCTAATAAACTATTGGTGGAATTATAGAAATCATTTACTTTTTGACTTTGTGAAGTAACTCATGGGTTCAGTCCATACCACCAACAAGCAAAATAAATATCTTTTTTCTCCCACATTGGTCTTTGTATAACCCTGTTATGTACTTTACCTTTATTAGGATAGGCCATCTTTTTCCTCCCTACCCAGACCATGAAGCTAAGCCTTAAGGTAAAATAACTCACTGTCTGGAAAAGAAACACAGAGAATTTTGTTCCCTGCTAATAATCCTAACATTCGGTAGCTATCTTTAGATGATCTTGAGCCTATTTTGCAGATACTTATTAGAAGTAGAAATAAGGGCCGGGAAGGTGACTCAGTGGTAAAGCGCTTGCCTTGCATGCATGAGGCCCTGGGTTCCATGCCTCAGCACCACACATAAGCAGAAAAAAACTGAAGTGGCGCTGTGACTCAAGTGATAGAATGCTAGCCTTGAGCTGAAGAGCTGAGGGACAGCTCAGGCCTAGAGTTCAAGCCCCACAACCAACCAAAAAAAAAAGAAGTAGAAATAACCCATATATTAATCTATATCCTCATCAGCTGACTTAAATCTGTACTTTTTTCATCTTTATTCATGTTAAATTCATGGTTCTAAATTCTTACCTTTTTTACCACTAGGCATTCAGAATGCTTAATAAAGATAAGAAACTGGATTGTAAGAATTTAACCCTGGTATTGTTACAGGATATTGCAGCAGAAAAAACAGTCCCCAAACCACCTCCAGCAAAGCCTTCTAGGCCCCGACCGAAGAGTCGAATTTCTCGGTACCGGAGCAGTTCAGCCCAAAGACTAAAGCGCCAGAAGCAGGCCAGTGCACAACAGGCAGAATTGTCACAAGCTGCCTTGGAAGAAGGAGGAAATAATAGCTCAGTAACTCCTACTGAAGCTGGAAGTATAGAGAGTTCAGGAGAAAACAGACAGTTACCAGGCACTGACCCAACTGTGCTATCAGTTACCGGATCCCATGTCAACCGTGCTGTAACTAAGTACCCAAAAACCAAAAAGGTAAGTTACAAATATATTTTTGTGAGTCTAGTCTGGCAAGGGTTGTTTTAGCTAAAACAAAAGGACCTCTAGAAAAAAGTAATCTCTGTGTGTGTGGATTGAAAGTTTTAGATTCAAATGTACTGATTAAGGCTGAAGCCATTCTGCTACTTTTTGCCATTATTGTTAGGCAGAGCCTAAAGCACAGATAGCAAAAATTATTCATCTTAGCGGGCATGGGGAGGGGACAGGAGGATATGCTTGCGTTCTGAATGCTCAGTTCATCCTCACTGCAGCTGCTTGTATCTGTCCTAGTTTCTAAATGAGGTTTGTCTTTGTGGTCTTCAGTCCTGCCTCTGGCTGTTATATCTTCAGCATTAACTAACAGTCTCTTCTTTTTTTCTTTTAACCATAGTATCTAGTTACAGAATGGTTGAATGACAAAGCAGAGAAGCAAGAGTGCCCTGTGGAATGTCCCTTACGTATCACCACAGATCCAACTGTACTGGCCACAACCCTGAACATGTTACCGGGTCTTATTCATTCCCCATTAATTTGCACCACCCCAAAACACTACATTCGCTTTGGCTCACCTTTTATGCCTGAGAGGCGTCGAAGGCCCCTTCTGCCTGATGGCACATTCAGCTCCTGTAAGAAGGTATGTCTGTGAATATGTGTGGGTATTTGGGGTATTTTTTGTTTTGTTTTGGGATGGGGTTTTTTTTGTTTGTTTTTTGTATTATTTGTTCATTTGTTTTAACCTAGGATGCCTATAGTTGTGACATTTAACATATTCTCTAGATACCTGTGTGAGTTTATAATGAGTTAATTGCTCAACATGAACACTGGTGCATCAGTAACCAGTATGACCATGGGGATGGTAAACTGAAATTTTGGTGTTAAAATTTGTGATTACTCTGTCATCTCTTCTGAGAACCCTTGAGGTTACTGGCTAAGAGCACACAGCAGTTGATGATTGAGTAGGAAGGGATATGTTTTGTGTATGCTCTTGTGATATTGGTTAGCATGTCCATTGGTGATTATTGTGAGAGATTGGGCCCCTAGGTATTCTACCACTGTTGGATAGTAAAACTTTATAAAATTGTGTTTTGAATTAATTCAGTCACTATTATTACTTGAAGGAGATTAGAGGAAAGACCCTACTGTAATTGGCATGTTTCCTGTTTCTTGATCAGATGACAACATGTTGGACTATTTATTCCCTAGAGAATATAGAAACTACTATTTTAAAAAAATTCTGTCTCTCTCGCTCTCTCTGTCTCATTTAACCTCTTTTTAGCTATTTAGTGGTTTTGAATCCAGTGGCATTGTTTGTTGATGCTTTTTGGAATGTACTTTCTTAATTCCCAGAAGTCCTCAATATTTTCCATAAATGTCCCACAGGAGTAGATCACTTCCTTAGGTCTATAATGTCCTTTCAGTGGTTTTAGAGTTTAGGACACCCTTTCATTTGGTCTTCCTTTGAGGTAGAGTTCTGTTCCCTGGAACATCCTTTTCTCTTATCCTCAGATCTGGATTCAGGCTGCCTTCCTCAGTGTCTGCCATTGCCCTCCTCCACTGGCATCACGTACATGAGGATGCTGCATGTAGATTATTTGATGTGATGAAGTCTCCAACTCCAGGCAGGTCTTCCCTGACTCCAACAAACTTAAAGCTTTTCTCTTTCCCCAAAGAACAGAAATCATTTCTTGGGGGTTTGGGAGGCATGAAAGGTGAGCCAAAGTGATATGGGCTATGGATGGGAGGAGGGCAACAGCAATATCTGTGTAAATGAAAGACACTGCTGCTAAATTAGCAGCATACATAACAGAAAGTCTTCTCTTACCTAGTATTTGAGTTACTTGTTGGGTTTATTTGGGAAAACTCCCATGTGTTCAGACCTTTAAAGAAAGGGTTTGCCGGGCGCCGGTGCTCACACCTGTAATCCTAGCTACTCAGGAGGCTGAGATATGAGGATCACGGTTCAAAGCCAGCCCGGGCAAGAAAGTCGGTGAGACTCTTTATCTCTAATAAACCACTAGTAAAACGGAAGTGGCATTGTAGCTCAAGTGGTAGAGCGCTGGCCTTGAGCTGAAGAGCTGAGGGACAGCACCCAGGCCCTGAGTTCAAGTGCCACAACCGACCAAAAAAAGGGGGGGGGGTTGTAGATAATGCAGAAACATGAGTTACTTTCAAGTGTTAGAATTAAAACAATGAAAACTATATTTAAAAACAAAATAGAGTCAGGCATTGGTGGCTCACTGAGATCTGAAGGTCACAGTTTGAAGCCAGCCCAGGCAGAAAAATCCTTGAGACTCTTCTCTCCAATTAACCACCAAAAAACTGGAAGTGGAGTTGAGACTCATGGTAGAGCATTAGCCTTGAGCAAAAAAGCTCAGGGATAGTGCTCAGGCCCCGAGCTCAAACCCCAGTAGTGGCACCAAAAAAACAAGAAAGAAAATTTCAGCCTGGCACTAATGGTTCATGCCTATAATCCTAGCTAATCAGGAGACTGAGATATGAGGATCCTGGTTACAAGCCAGCCAGGGGAGTAAAGTCTATAAGACTCTTATAATCACAGAAAAAGCTGGAAGTGGCCCTGTGGCTCAAGTGTTAGAGTGCTAGCCTTGAGCAAAAGAACTCAAGAACAGCCCCCTGGCCCAGAGTTCAAGCCCCAGGACTGGCAAAAAGAGAAAGAAAATTTCTGCACAGCTATTTTCTTAAGGAAATTTGTTTGAAGGATAAAGAAAAATCACTTCCCTGGGGAACTATCCTGTACCAAGTTACTTAGATTGACTAGATGTGATTTTTTAAAAATAATAATCATAACTTGCTATGTAAAAAAATTGTATTAGATTAAAAAAAATGTGAAGGTGGTATCACTAGTATAGTGGTTCACATCTATAATCCCATCACTTAAGGTTTGAAGTAAGAGGATCAAGTGTTCATAACAAACCTGGACTACATGGTCCCTTTCTTTAAAAAAAATAATTAGTGAGCTCTTATCTCTACTATGGCATGCAAAACTGAGAATCTATCTTCCTGCTATGTTTTACATTGCTCAGTCCTCACTGAGAATCAGCCAGGCGCCAGTGGTTCATGCCTAAAATTGCGGTTTAAAGCCAGCCCCGCCCAGGCAGGAAAGTTCCTGAGACTCTTGTCTCCAATTAATCATCAGAAAACCAAAATGGTGCTGTGACTCAAGTGGTAGAGCACTCACCATGAGCTGAAGAGCTCAGGACAGCACCCAGGCCCAGAGTTCAAGCACACGACCAACCTAAAAAAAAAAAAAAGAATCATCTTAAATACATGTTGAAAATTAGAAAGGACATGGAGCCTTGAGTCTAAAGAAAGAGCAAGTTGAGAGATGGCAGAATGTACATGAAAGAGCTTTTTCTTTTGTGTTTGGCTGCTCATAGCTATAGATTGTGAAGGATATTGACTACGTAAGCTTTTTATTAAGCCAGATAGTAGAATTTTAGTCTTTGAGAAAGGGTGTCAGTAATTTAGTACTGTTCTTGTTGTAACTATGAACTAACTTCTTAAAATGTTTTCTCAGTAATTCTGATGCATAGTTATGAGTTTCTTGTTCTCATCTTGCTTTTCCAACTAGTGGAGATCTAGGAAAACCAAAAACATGTTTAGGATTGTCACTTCAAATTCCACACAAAATCCATTCTTTGAGCTCTTTTTACCTGGTTTTGGTTTAGGACTTAACATCTGTAGCTCTCTTTGTTACCTCCATTGGCAACAGCTAGAAATCCCATTTTTTTATCTGAACACTTTCATTAGTCTGTTTCAGTACTAGATTTTGCAAGTAGTAGGCAAGCACTTTTACTACTGAACTATATATGTATCCTATATACATCCTCAACCCTCATCCTTAGGCATAAATATTTTTATATAGTTATGGTTGGACTTAATATGTTGAACTTTCTTACCAAGACTATATTATTTCAATTAAAATTTAATATTCTTAAGTTTAGATCTTTTTTTTCTTTGTCAGTACTAGGTTTTAAATTCAGGCTCTCCTGCTTGCTAGGCAAGTGCTCTACCACTTAAGTTGTGTCCCTAGCACTTGATCTCAGTTGTTTATACTTTAATCTCTGTTTTAGTATTTATTGAAAATGAATCCAGGATGTACTGTATAACAGTGAGCTTCATATGGGCAAAATAAATGAATTACATATTTCAGCTAGAAACTAACATCAGTTTTATCCTGGATGGAGGTGGGGAACAGTTAATTTTAGGTTAATTTGAAAAGACTTACCTGTTTCAGTATGTAAGGATATTTCCATTACTAAATCAAACTGTAATAAAATTCTGAAAATCCCTCAGAGTATATGGTAAACAAATAAATAGAGGAGGATAAAGTATTCTCCATAGGACCAAACAGTATCTATTCCTTCTACTAATAGGTCCATTAGTCTGTCTCTGATTAAAGGATATAGGCCTGCTAAATTACAATCAGTATAAAAGCTGGGCGCTGGTGGCTCATGCCCATAATCCTAGCTACTCAGGAGGCTGAGATCTGAGTATCATGGTTCAAACCCAGCAAGGCCAGGAAAGTCCTGAGATTCTTATCTCCAATAAACCACTAGAAAATCAGAAGTGGCGCTGTGGCTCAAGTTGTAGAGTGCTCTCCTTGAGCTGAAGAGCACAGGGAGTTCAAGCCCACAACCAACCAAAAAAAAAAAAAAATGATTATAAGACATTTAAGTTTTGTGGCTACATTTGTTACAACAAAAGTATATGTAAACAGCCATGAAGCCTATCAGTCACGTCTTCCTGTGTTTTATATGCATAATGCATTTAGTCTCCCAGGCCCATTCCTTAGAAGCACTGGGCTTTACACCAGTATTTAAGTTTGTACACTGAGGGTTATTAATCTGAGAGTCTTAAAACCTACCACTGATAATTAGCTAAAAATAAATGGCAGATTTGCTGTGCTTCTAGTACTATGCTGTCAGCTTCCTTTACTATCTCCATGACAGCTTCATGCAGTTGAGATTATTGGCCATAGTTTTTAGGTTCAGGATCTTTGTTTTAGAAAGGTTTTATAACTTGCCCAAACCACATACAACTTAGATAGTTAGGACAAGGGGCTTTCAAATTATTCTGTAGGGGTTATTGGAACTTGTTTGATGCAAAGATATGTTCATGTTACCTTTGTTTTTTAAAAAAATGAAATTCTGCAACCAGACAAAGAAGGAGTTTGATTATACTTGTTATATTTATAACCTTAAAACCAGCTGTGGCAATATCTTATTCCTCCATTGCCCCTTTTCTGGTTTTATATGTTCCTTTTTTGTAGTCATTACATCCCGAATGTAAATTCTTTTGTGGTTATATCTACTCAACAGTTTTTGTTGTGTGCGTGTGTGTGTGTGCGTGTGTGTGTGCATGTGCATGTGCGTGTGTGGTTGTGTGTGTGTGTGTGTGTGTGTGTGTGTGTAATGTATATAATTAGTTTTTCTTGGAGGAAATCTCGGCGACTTCAAATAAGTTGTCATCTGCTCTGAAGGAAAAATACTATGTCTGTTTAACATTTAACCTTTTCAACATTTTGTCTTTCTAGGCCTAATTTTTCCCATCTATGAAATTAGTGCTTTGGACAAGATGACCTCAGAGGTCTCTTCCTAGCTCTAAGGATCTGTGCTTCTGACACTTCATCTTTATATCAGTGTTCTGTATTGAAGGAAGTTCCTTCTCTATCTTGACTTTTCAGAGACTTGGTCATATACTAGAATATTATTGTGATTCAAATGACCCTTGATACCTCTTTTTCTAATGTACTCATTCATTCTTACCTCTTCATGTTTGTTTTTTTTAATTTGACAGACCATAATGACATTAACATGATTTTTCTTAGTAAATTACCCTGAATTGCCTCCTAAGTTTCTAAGAGAGGAAAAAAACGTCTCCTAGAATTGCTTTCTTTGGTGAAGATAATTACTTACCTGTAATACATGTTCTCTAGAGGTGTCAACTTATAATAATTCAGCTTTACTCTTCCTATTTTGGGGAGGGTTTAACTCAGAAATTGATGTTTATCAAAATTCGATCTGTCTTATGTCAGGGCAGGAGAGCCACAGAATGGTGAGCAACCTACAACTGTGTATCTTAAGAGAACACAATTACAGGTAAGAAATTTTCTCTTCCACAGGATGCATAATTTTACTATCCTAGTTTTTAAAATAGACTTACTGATTTCTCATCAATTTAGATTTCAGTATTCACTACCAAAAATTAAAACTGATTAGCAAGGTCTTTTTTTTTCTTTTTTTTATTTCTGCAAAGGGTCATTTCTTGTGATTTGCATTATTCATGCATAGTTTAATCAAGCTACTTCATAGGGGAGAGAGAAGTTCATATGATATTCCACTTGAGAGTAAATTAAAATCTTTTGGTACCTATAGTGAAGAGCTATTTTTTACTACCATCCAGTATCTTCTGTGAATCTTTTACTACTTTCAACATCCCTAGCAGAGGGCAGATCTTAAAGAGGTCTTTATCTTTCTTGTTACGGACATTTACTTACTAGTTTTGTTGTATATGACCAGTCTCTCAAATAAATGCTAAAATTTCTTCTTTATCTCTTCTGTTTATCTTTTCCTAACCAGTATGAAAGTTGAACAATAATCTGTTTTTTGTTTGTTTGGTTTCTGTTTTTGTTTTTTTTTTTAGTGTTGGGTTTTTTTATTGAGATCTCAATATGTGTATTCCTGACTTTTTCAGGATTTTGCCTGGTAGAAGGAATTGATGAGGCAATGTTTTAGTATGTTGAAGTACAACACTTGACTGTGGCCCTGAATGAATGTGTTGGATTGAATTTCTCACTCGTTGTTGTATATTCAATTGACCTGGTTAGTGCTTTTTAAAGTAGATGTACTAAATAGTTTGAAATGGTCCTTGATAATTCTCTGGGGTTTTTTTCCCCCATTATAGCGCTGGATAAAGCAAGCCTTGGAAGAAGGGATGACTCAAACATCATCTGTACCCCAAGAGAGTAGAACTCCACACCTATACCAAAGTAATGAGAATAGTAATTCTTCTAGTATCTGTAAAGACAATGCAGGTATGTATCTAAACCCCTTCTAATACGTGAGTAATCATTGTTTGAGGACCTCATTTTAAAAATCAGTCTTGGTACTCTTATGAAAAAGCAACAGTATGTTCTCTAAATAGTTACTTTCCATCTGTCTTTACAGAGGAAGAGAAAGATCTCAAGTCAGGGATCAGTTTTCCCAGGACGACAAGAAGGAACTAGACAGTGTACAGATAACAACAGAAATGGTTATTTAAAAGGTTAGATATGTTTAAAATAGTAAGTTTAGGAAATCTATATTCACATTTATAAGTGGGGGTAAGAAAGTGGTGGACTATTAATATTCAGTAAAATATTAAGATTTCTAAGTGGTTTTTTAGGGTGGCTCCTGATCACAGGGACTGAAAATAAATAAATGATAAATCATTACTAATTGGTTGTTTTCTAGATAGACTTGTCCCAGCTTTCAATCTAATTTAAAATCCTCACTTGTGGCTCACACCTATAATTTTAGCTAATCAGAAGGCTGAGATAGAATGATCACAATTCAAAACCAGTCAAGGAAGAAAAGTCTGAAAGATCTTACCTCCAAAATCACCTGTAAAAAGCTGGTATGGAGACATGACTCAGGTGATAAAGTACTAGCCAGATATGTGCCAGCTCTGCAAATGTAAGGTCCTCAGTTTAAGCCCAAGATTCAGCCAAAAAAAAAAACCTTTAAGGTCCTCATGAATTTTTATACCAGATGGCTATGAAAAAAATCTTGTGATCTATTCACTTTCACAGTGACTCGAAGGGCTCCTAATTGTTGCCATCTCTTTGAGAACAAGGGTCTCTAGTTAAGGTTTGCCTGGATCATGATACTTCTGCCTCAGCCTCTTGAATGCTGGGATTTGCAAATGTGCTCTACCACACTTCTGTTACCATCTTAATTTATTTGAGGAAAGTATTTTTTTTACCAAAGTTTTCCTTTTCAATATTAGCTTAAAAACTCACTTGCTTTTTAGCCTCTCTGATGGTCCTTAGTTCACTCCCTAACCCCAGAGTAAGTTTGGAAGGCGGGTCCTCTCTGATTTCTATATGTTTATCTCTAAATCAGTTTTCTGAATACTAAAAACACCAAAATTAAAATAAGATGCTACAGTTCATATATGAGTACAGCTACCATGCCAGTATCTCAGATTTTCATAAAAACCACTTCATAGGGCTGGGAAGGTGGCTCAGTGGTAGAGTGCTTGCCTTGCATGCATGAGGCCCTGGGTTCGATTCCTCAGCACCACATAAGCAGAAAGAAAAAAGCCGGAAGTGGCGCTGTGGCTCAAGTGGTAGAACACTAGCCTTGAGCTGAAGAGCTGAGGGACAGCGCCCAGGCCCAGAGTTCAGGCCCCACGACCGGACCCAAAAAAAAAGAAAACTCTTACCTCCAGAAAACCGAAAGTGGAGCTGAGCTGTGGTAGAGTGCTAGCTTTGAGCAAAGAGTTCAGGGACAGTGCCTAGGCCCCAAGTACAAGCCCCACCAGCAAAAAGAAAATAAAAATACTTGTGACAAATTGCCATCAATCCTATCAATCTACAGGTAACTTTAAAAGTGTAGTTAGAATGGCTTTGCTGATTAGACTTTTAATATGTCTTTTATCCATGTAAGTGATAAGTAGTCATGATTGGGGAAAAGACACAATATTTCATGTCCTGACTAGTTAAGATTTACAGGGAAAGTACCTTTGTTACTATATGTCCTGACTGGAATTGGATAAAATTGTTATTCACCAACTAAATTGAGCTTCTGCTCTAGTCTGTCAAGCAGTGAGAAACACAGGATACACCTTGCCCTTAAGTATCAACATAAACAAGCAGTAATAGATGAGTGATTTATATTGGTGAAAGGTAGTGGTCCTGAGGAATTATTTTTGATAATTTTCTGTTACTGTTTTTTTTTTTCAAGAATACCAAGGAGATAATAATGTCCAACAGTTGTTACACTACAAAAAAAAAAAAAGCGGCCTTAATTGGTGTACCAACTACCATTTACCAGCTATATGACATTACTGAATGTCTGAATTTCATTTATAAAATGAGTGATATTTGCTTTATTATTCAAATAAGAGACTGAACAATGTGTATAGAGTGCTTAATAAAATGTCAGGCCCATAATAGAGTATCCTGTCATGTATGACTACTAAGTTGGTCATAACTGCACAAAAGCTAAAATCAGGAATATAATTCAAAGCCAGCCTAAGCAGGCAAATCCAATTATCTCCAATTAACCAGCAAAAAGATAGACATGGAGGTGTGATTCAAGTGATAGAGTGCTAGCCTTGAATGAAAATCTAAGGGACAGCATGTAGGCCCTGAGTTCAAGCCCTACCTGCACACATACACAAAAAAAGTATGAGTATTATCTACATTAAAGAGTAAATTTATAGCCAGGGATAGTACAACATACATCTATATATTCATTTTCACTATGTGTAAATTATGCTCACCTATCCCTAGGAGCCCCTAAATAAAAAACTGGTGGGGCTGGGAAGGTGGCTTAGTTATAGAGCACTTGCTTTGCATGCCTGAGGCCCTGGGTTCAATTCCTCAGCACCACATAAGCAAAAAGAAAAAAGCCGGAAGTGGCACTGTGGCTCAAGTGGTAGAGCGCTAGCCTTGAGCTGAAGAGCTGAGGGACAGCGCCCAGGCCCAGAGTTCAGGCCCCATGACTGGACCCCAAAAATAAATAAATAAAAAACTGGTGTACTTAGAATTATTATTAACAATAATTAAATGACATCACTAGATAGCAGGTGAATTATACAAAATTATGTCCTAAGAAAGTGAATGAAGGTCGCAGTATCAGCTCCCAAGCCTGTGCTGCGGCCCTGGCTGGTCAGTGTAGGAACCTTCTCAATAAAATTGCTCCTTTATTAACCAAAAAAAAAAAAAGGAATGAAGCAGAAAATTTTTATTTCAAAACTTAACAAAATAAATAACCAACTTAATTGGATGTATGAAGCAAGCTTACTGAGAGTTTTGTTTGGAGCTTTTGTTTCTTTACTTGTTTTGCATTGCTGTGTTTTTAACTTGAGGCCTTGTACTTGCTAGGCAACTACTCTACTACTTCAGACATTCCCCTAGCCCCTTTTGCTTTGTTATTGTACAGTCTCACTTTTTACCCAGGCAAGCCTGAGCCACAATCTGATTTATACTTCTCACATAGAAAGTAGAATAGACACATGCTACCATGCTCAGTTTTTAATTTGTTGAATTGAGATTTTAGGAATATTTTGCCTGGGCTGGCATTGAGCCATAGTCTTCCCAATCTTAGCTTCCCAAATAACTAGTATTATAGGTTGGAGCCATTGCCTAGCTTAAGGAAAAGTATTTTTAAAATCTAAACAAAAATGGAAGGTTGATCATCTAATTCAGAGCAAGTAATCCTTGCACATTGGTATAAGAATGAATTATAAATAAGAAACAGAATAGCTAGAAATGTGTAAACATTTGGTAAGTCTTTAAGAGTTTTCACTTGGGAAATTGAAAAAGAATTAGATCCTTGCTTGTTGGTAATGGTTCATGCTTGTGATCCCGCCTTCTCAAGAGGCTAAAATAGGATCCAGATTCAAAGCGAGGAAATCTATGAGACTCTTATGTCCATTAACCATCAGAAAACCGGAAGTGGCTCTGTGGCTCATAGTGGTAGAGTGCTAACCTTAAGCAAAAAAGCTCAGAGACAGCGCCCAGGCCCTGTCCGATCTGTCAAGCCCCATGATAAACCAAAAGAAAAAAACAGATTTGAAGCCAGCCTAGGCAGAAAGGTCCAAGAGACTATATCTCCAATTTATTATCCAAAAAAAAAAAGAATGAATTAATTAAATTCTTTGCCAAAGCAAATTGTAGGTCCATTGAATTTATTTGTCTACTTCATTTTTTTTTCAGTTATGGGAAATAAATTCAGTGCCTCAAGCTTATTAGGTTATTGGTCTACCACTTTAGCCAAGCCAATTTTTTTTTGTTGTGTTTAGCAACATTAACCATGTTTCTCTGACTATAGTCTCTGAGTTACTACATTGAGAAAAGAATTTGTATTTGCAGTAACATGGTAGAATAATAATCCCTACTAGTAATTTGGTTAGACATTTGCTTTAAAAATATTTATAATTCTAAACTGGTACTTGTTCTTCTAGGTACATACCTATCACACAAAAAGTAACAGAAACATTTTTATTCAAGTATGATGGCTTATGACTATAATACTATCTACTCAGACAACTGAGATCTGTTTCTCAGTTCAAAGTCAGCCTGGGAAGGAAAGTCTACGAGATTCTTATATCTCCAGGTAACCACCAGAAAACCATTAGTGAATGTGTAGCTCAAGTGGTAAGCACTAACTTTGAACAAAAAAATCTCAGGGACAGTGCCCAGGTGCTGAGTTGAAGCCACAGACCAGTACCAAAAAAATTTGTCTGATTCTGTTTTTTTGTTGGTGGTGGGTAGTGGTGGTGGTCGTGGTCGTAGGGCTTGAACTCTGGGTCTACGTGCTGTCACTCAGCTTGAGCCACAGCATCATTTCTGGTTTTCTGGTGGTTAATTAGAGATAAGAGTCTCATGGACTTTCCTGCCCAAACTGGCTCTGAACCCCAATCCTCAGATCTCAGCCTCCTGAGTAGCTAGGATTGCAGGTGTGAGCCACCAGTGCCCAGCTTCAGATTTTTTTTTGTCTTTTTTTTGGGGGGGGGTCCAGTCATGGGGCCTGAACTCTGGGCCTGGGCACTGTCCCTCAGCTCTTCAGCTCAAAGCTACCACTTGAGCCACAGCGCCACTTCTGGCTTTTTTCTTTATGCTTATGTGGTGCTGAGGAATTGAACCCAGGGCCTCAGGCATGCAAGGCAAGTGCTCTACAACTGAGCCACCTTCCCAGCCCCAGATTTATTTTTTTAATGTACAGGTTTTAAAAAATCCCTGAATCATTCAGAATGTCAATGAGTGATAAAATTTGTAACCTAAGCCACAATGTCCACATATTTTTTATAAATATAATTTTATTGTTACTAAGGTATTGTACAGAGAGTTTACAATTTCTTAAGCATTGATTTTTTTTTTGTCAGTCATGGGATTGAACTAAGGGCCTACATGCTGTCCCTGAGCTCTTTTGTACAAGGCTAGCACTGTACCACTTTGAGCCACAGCTCTACTTATGGTTCTTAGGTGGTTCATTGGAGATAAGAGACTCAAGCACTTTCCTGCCCAGGCTTGCTTTGAACTGCTATTCTCAGATCTTAGCCTCCTTCATAGCTAGGGTTACAGGTATGAGCCACTACCACCCAGCGAGTACCTTTCTTTTTTTTCTAGTGTTGCCCCTCCCTTCACTTTCTCTCAGTTTTCCCCTCCTATTTCTGCTCACTATGTAACCATAGTGCATTTTTCACATAGTGTATCTGAATAGCATGATAGCATCACCCTTCCTCCCTCCTTTTCTATGCCTCTTTTCCCTCCCCAACCCCTCCAAGAAAAATTCAGTAACAACAAAAAGACATGTCTCCATTTCCTGGAATTCATTGAAATGAATGAAAGGAACTTTTGGGTTCCTTCCCTGAGGTTAGCCTCCTTTGGTTGACTGTGCAAATGCCTAGAGTACTGTGTAAGTATGTCCAGATATATTTTAAAGACTGTCTGTCTGTCTGTCTACACTGGCTTACCTCTCTTGGCATGGTTTGTTCTAGGTCCATCCATCTCCCAGCAAATGACATAATCTTATTCTTTCTAATGGATATGTAAAATTCCATTTTAAAATAGCACATTTTAGTGATCCATTCATCTGTTATAGGGCATCTGGGCTGTTTCCATAACCTCACTATTATGAATGAACATGGCTCTGCAAGTGTCTTTATGGCTTCCTGGCTTGTAATATTCTAGGTAACACCCAAGAGTGCTGTGATGGTTCATAGGGAAGTTCTGTGTTTATTTTTTTGAGACCCTTCTAGACCACCTGCCAGAGTGGTTATACTAGTTTACATCCCCACCACCTTTTTCCCCACATTCCTACCAACATTTGTTGTTGGT